TGCGCCCCACTCTGTTCCTGGTGAATCCTCTCACCCTCCGCATCTCTGGCCTGTACCCCAGTTCTGTATGAATAAATAAATAAATCTTTAAATAAATAAATAAATAAATTTTTATTAAGATCTAATTCATTACCATAAAATGCACCCCTTTTAAAATGAATTTGATAGCTCTAAGTATTTTGCATGGTTGTATAACTATCATAGAACCTAATTTCAGAACATTTGTTGACCCCATAAAGAAATCCATAGCCATTAACTACTCCTCATTCCTCCCCAACCCCATATCTACTTTCTATCTCTATGGATTTGCTTATATCTGGAAATTTCACATAAATGTATTCATAAAATATGTGGCTTTAAAAAAAAGATTTTTTTATTTATGTATACAGGGGTGGTGGGAGGATTCACCAGAGACAGAGTGGGGAGCAGAACAGGCAGGCTGATGAAGTACACTGCTGAGGGGAGCAGCGGGCGGGTCAGGAGAGGTCTGCCACGCCATGTGGTCACCTCCAGGGCAGGCGGGGCTTGAACTCATGCTGAAGTGGCTTTAGCTTCTTAGTGCTGTGCTTTAACCCGCTGTGCCACCAATATGTGACTTTTTATGTCTGACTTCTTTCACTCAACATAATGCTTTTGTGGTTCATCTATATTATAAGTATATATTAATGCATCACTATTCCTTATGGCTGAGTAATATTCCTTTGTATGGATACATTACATTTTATTGATTTATTCATTACAGATGGGCATCTTGTTTTTATTTTTGGAGTATTATGAATAATACTGCTATGAACATTCATGTGTAAGTTTTCATGTGAACCCCCAAACTTAATTTTCTTGAGTATTTTCTTAGGGATGTATTGAATGTATTGCTGGATCGTATGGTAAGACTCTGTTTAACTTTTTGAGGACCTGCCAAGTTGCTTTCCAAACAGCTTCACCACGTTACTTGATGACTGGCAACATGCGATGGATCTAATTTCTCCAGACCCTTGTCAATGATTGTAACTCGAATTCATGATAAATTGGCTTTAGCTTCTTAGTGCTGTGCTTTAACCCAGTCCTTTTTTTTCTTTCTTTCTTTTTTTTTTTTTTTTGTTTCAAGTTTGATCCTGGACTTGCTGAATTTGAAATAGTTTATTAAACGATGAAACATTTAATTCCGGTGGAGCGGTGGGTCCTGAAAGACACAGAAGATGTATGTTATCTATATATCTAAACATGCACAATCATGTGTGCATGGAAGAATACTGTTTAAGATCATGAAGCTACCTAAAATCATGAAACCAAGTGCAGTTCTCATGAAGACAGTAAGAATAAAGGGAAGAAGAAGATGTCAAGGACTGAGCCACGGGGCCCTCGGATGTTCAGAAGCTAGTGAGGAGACAAGCCACCACAGGAGGCTGAGAGTAAGCAACCAAGAGAGTGTGGGAGAAAGTACACAGAGAACAGGATGTGCTCACCTGTCTCAGATGCTCCTCAGAGACCAGGTCAGGTGAGCACCAACAAGTGACCAGTGGAGTTAGCAACCCAGAGGTCACTGGCAGAGCTCACTGACTAAGGCATTTAGAGGAATGTTGAGGACAAAAGTATTCCTTGAGTGGGCTCAAGAAAGTGAAGGCAAAGAAAAAAAAGGAGATAACAAGTATAGGCCTGTATTGTGTGGTGTTTCCTGGCAAACCTACTGTGGCAGGTAGAGAGAGAAGTGGGGTGAAGAATGGGTTTGTGTTTCTTTCTTGTTTTGCTTTTAAGATGGGAGAGACAGTTTGCATCCAATGGGAATGGTCCAGTGGGAGCCAAGAATGGATGCTGTGGGACAGCAAGGAGCAGTGTCTTTTGAGTAGGAGCCAAGCCAGGACTTATTCCATGTGGAAGGTTGGCGATTGTCAGGGCACAGACAGGTCATGGGTAAAAAGAGGTGGGAAGTGGGTGGATGGGTAGAGACCGGCAGTGGGTGTGTAGCAGGTGGGCAGGAATCTGTGGTCTCATTCACAGGGGAAGGAGGAAGCCCATTGTGGCTGAGAGTGAGGAAGGGAGGACCGGAGCAGCCAGGAGAGGGCTCCTTCTGGAAAGGTGTGCAGGCGAGAACAGGCGCTAGACCGCACTAGGGGCAGGTGAGCTCTATGTACTAAGTTCAGGTATCATTTCTTCCAAAGGGCTTGCGTCCCCCCAGCCCAGGTCACTCCCCCCTTTACAGGTGGCCTGGTCCTGTGTTTCTTCCTCACGACTCTGCCCACAATTGAAAGGAAATAGCAACTGTGCTCTCAGCTCATGAATCCCGCATCCCTCACTAGACTGTAAGTCCCATAACAGTCAGCAGAAACTGTCTACTGGGCTCTGGCTTCTACCATTCTATTTTGGCGTCTACCTCCCTGCGCATAGTAGTCTCTCAATACAAATTGTTATATATCTGAATAATGAATGACATAAGTCCTATATATCTGAATAATGAATGACATAAGTGTCATGTGTATTTTTTTTTAACTCGGTCTAGATTTCCGAAGCAGCCCCTCCCGCATCTCGGGGCAAGGGTGGGCTGCGCCTCGGCATCCCCACCCCTCATCCCCAACCCCTCCCTGGCGCTCGACTTCGAAGATGCGCGGTTGCTTTAAGGGCCGCGGCAGCCAAGCCGAGCGCTGATTGGTGGTTTATTCTAACGCCTGGAGGATGAGCTCATCTGCAGCCAATGGCCGCGCTGCGCCCCGTAGACCCCTGCACCTGACTGGAGGACTTGCAAAGAGCCGCCGACAGTGCACGGTGCCTGGCGGGGTGAAGGAGCCGTGGCTGCTCGGGTAGGTCTGGTCCCGCGAGCCAGCCCAAGCTCCAGTCTCGGGCAGGTACGGTGTTCGCCCACTTCTCCTCCATCCTCCCTCCTCCGGGCGAGGATACCCATCTCTGCACTCCCCAGCCTGCCCTCTTTGACCCGACCCTCACGGGGCATGCACCTTGCTGTCTGGACTCAGGAGCTCGGTACCACTCACCGTGTCCAGGTGTGGCCACGTGGCTGTGCCTGAGGAGCCCTCCTGGTGGGGTGACTTCGGATGCCCGGGCCTGACTCCAGCATCTGGGTTAGGCACCCCAGTACAGGCCTCAGAGCTGCAAGTCCCAGGTGACCGGCCGCAGGGCCTCCCTTCCTCCACCACTTCCTGGCAGCGTCCTAGTTGGGGTTCAGTACTGGCTTAGGAATATGGGCCTCCCACTCTACCCCCACCCCATCTATTCTTCTCTCCCTCTCTCCACAGAGGCATAATGGTTGTGGAAGTTTGGCCCTGCCTCTTCCAGAGGGGCCTGGGAAACGCAAAGCTGCCCAGGCTGCAGTGAGGGCAGAGGCAGCTCTGCTGGCCTGTCTCAGTCCTTTCCCACAGTCGCTGCTCTTGCCTGGTGACACAGGCACTCAGGGAGGGGCTGCAGTCGGGTCCTTGGAGACAGCATGGCCTCCTGGTCTCAGAGACAAAGCCAGGGGGACAAAGCACCCGCTCCATGGGGCTGGACTGACCTTGCCTTCCTCCCTCCTTCCTCCGTCTCCATCCAGAATCTACCACCTGGTCATTCCATTAGCCCACAGTCTTTGAGACCTGGCTCTGTGACTAGCTGTCACCTAGGCTCCTTGGGTGTGTTTGGGGGTAGGGGTGGGAGGTCCCTACCCACGGAACACACTGACCTGAGAACAAGGGAAACGGAATGAAGCAGGGGAACCTATCCTGTTCTGGTAGGTGCCCACTGAACTAAACCCTGAAGGATAAATGAGAGCCCGCAGGTGAACAGGAGGGAAGAATAGGCAGGATGGAGGGAACCATGTGAGGAATGGCCTCGCACCACAGCCTCAGGGTGTGTGGCACCCCTATGTTTAATGTGGTCTAGGCATCATTTTGTACCATTGTGTGCCATGAAGGCAGCTCTGGATCACAAATATCCTCAGTGCTCAAGCGGTCGCAGTTGCTCCCGAAATATTTGTTGAACTGAATTTGAAAGGGAAAGTGAGCAGAGTCCTAAACATGTCAGTATTCAGCTATTACCACACGTTGGGGAAAAGCTGGCTCAGTGAAGGGACACTACCACACGGAGGGGGTCATCCCCCCACTCTTCGGGGTGTGGAACAGGTGGGTGCTGTCCCAGCGGGGTCCTCCCTGACGCCTTTGTTCATTCCAGGCCCCAGCTGTAGGACAGGCATCATGAGCCTGGTGGCCTGCGAGGGTCCGCCTGGCCCTGGCCTGGAGCCGGAGCCCTGCTCGCGAGCACGGTCCCAGGCCTCCGTATACCTTGAGCAGATTCGAAACCGGGTGGCTCCAGCAGCCCCTGAGATAACCAAGCGTGACTACCTTGTGGATGCAGCCACACAAATCCGACTGGCCCTGGAGCGCGACGTCAGTGAGGACTACGAGGCGGCCTTCAACCACTACCAGAATGGCGTGGACGTCCTGCTCCGTGGTGTGCACGGTGAGGCCAGGCTGGCAGGATAGGGGTCATTGAGGAAGCTCGGCGCGGAGGCCCCCTGCCCCCTGCCATGGTGCAGGGCCTCCATCAGGACATTCTGGTAGCTGTTCCTACACACCGGACGCTGGGCTGAGCATTTATCGAGCTGTTCCTACACACCGGACGCTGGGCTGAGCGTTTTTGCCCTGTTAACTCAAGCTTCACAGTATTGCAGCTACTATATGCCCTTGCGTGACGTTTCAAGAAGTAGGAACTAGTTTTATTCCTGTTTTCCAGATAAGGAAACGAAGGCCCAGGAAAGTGAAATAGCTTGTTCAAGGCTCTTGTAAAGTGGCAAAGTTGGGAGAGAGGGAACCAGAGGCCAGGCTGGGCCAGCACAGGGCATTTTCTAGAAGTCGGGATGCCAGTTGTTTAGCTGAAGGGCTGAGAGAACAGCACAGGCCTGGAGGCAAGAGGGGGGCCTGCTCAGGGCAAATGGGGTTTTTCTCAACTAGGTCGAGTGTGAGACCCAGTGAGTCTTGGTGGCCAGGCGGAGGGTGGGAGTCAGGCCCCGATTCACACTCTTTGGTGCTGGAGACCCCTCCACGCCTGGGCGTGAACTTTTTAGTCCCCAGTCTAATGCCCGCCCTGACCTTTCTCACGCTGGACATCAGGGATGGAAGAAGACAGGCTCCTTTCTGGGAGCTCCCGTCTCACAGAAACCCTTCCTGGGGTGTGAGGGCCACCGTCACGTGGGTGCCAACTGTGAAGGGCATAGGCTGTGGGGAGACGTGTTCCCCAGACTGTCCGCCATCATCTTCCTCTGCTCTCTGACCCAGAGAAGGAGCCAAGAATGGATGGGGGATGGGACCTGCTGACCAACCTCAGGAGTAGGCTGTCGCCTGGAGAGGGCACAGGGCGGACAGTGGGAGCTGGACCCCAGCCTTTCAAGGCAGCGGTCAGGGACGGGCCACGTCCTACTGCCACTCTTCCCTTCACAGTCGACCCCAACAAAGAGCGGCGCGAGGCTGTAAAGCTGAAAATAACCAAGTACCTTCAGCGGGCAGAGGAGATCTTTAACTGCCACCTGCAGAAGGCACTGGGCAACGGAACCAGCCCTGGCACGGTGAGGATCCCCATCTCTGAGACTGAGGCCCAGAGGGGAGAGAACTGAGCCCCTATGCCACAGACCAGAGGGCTACCACCTCCTGTCCTGGACAGG